TCGGGCGGGTTCGGGTTGGATAGTGAGAAAACCATGCCCACCCAATACCCGCAATATTCGGGTTCGAGTTTTACCCGTACCCACTAAAAACCTTTCGGGTTCGGATTTTACCCTACCTAATTAGGTCGGATTTGGACGGATATCCACGGTTACGGACATTTTTGTCATCCCTACTTTATTTTCTGGTTTCTGGGTTTCCTTCTTTTTATCCTAATATATTTTTCTTTAGTTGTTGGCCTCAAGGTTTGAGCCCAAAATGTAGTGGATATTCTCAACCTCAAAACAAATAATTAATTTTATGTATTCATGTTCTTGTCATAATTGACTATCTAAGCAAAAATTAAACCAATGCAATTCCTTAAAATAAGAAGTCAGGCAATGCATAAAGTGGGGAAAGGCAGGAGAGAACCTTCAGACTGTGCTTTTGGTGAAGGAAGGCTCTTGAGGTCATCTGTAGAATTCAAAGGGCCGCTCATGGATTCTGGGCTTGATTTGAACTCATTCATCTACATATATACAAATATAATATAAAACTCTTATTCAAATCGCAACAATGCTTTTCTTTAATGTCAGGTACGTATAACATATAACGTTATGTGACATACCCAACTTGGAGTGGTGGAAGAAGGGCCATCAGCTCCAATATGTGCAACGTGTTTTACATCTGTGGGAAGGCCGATCTCGAACTCTGGCTCTTTCTCATCTAGCAAAGAGAGAAACATGTTGGTTTGGGATGTAAATATGTTGAAAAATAATCATTAAAATGCTCTACAAGAAGGAAAAAGGAGACTCACCAAAGATGTTGTGAGAGATGGTATACCTAAGTCCTTTAAAAAGACCTTTCACTTTTGTCGTCATCTTTAATTATGCAAGGAAAATCCTGATAGAGAGCAACCGTAGTTATAAATTTTTTATCACAATACCCAATCTAGAAGACGTTGAGAAACCGAGTTAGAAGGAGAGAGCCATAGAAAAAGCAACATTCTCGAGACACCATTTCCAAAGAGGATTTTTGTTGCTAAATAATGTTAACATTTCCACTCTGAGAGACAAAATCAAGGCGATTGAGATTTACTTTTCTCTTTTTCTTCTTTTTTTCTCCCTTTATTTGTAGGTTTAGATTATGAACTCAGACAATTCTTGATTGTTGAATACCATCAACAACAATCAAGAAGAGAAAGAGGGAGATTGCTTTGGGTTGCAAAGGAACTAAAATCTCGAAATGTCGTGAAAGGCTAACACATGATTTTTGTTGGTGCTGATGGTTCCAATGAGAAACACCAATGCCCTTTTCCATTCTAAGCTCCTCTCCATCCCCTCCAACAGATATGCTATTTTTCAGCCCCAATTGACTAATAAAAGTCAGAATTTTGTTCTTTTATCTCGTCCCTTATTTTTCCTTTTTGTCTTTTGTTTTCTTTTGCTAATATATAAACATTAAAATTTTCATGAAACACAGAAAAAATCGACTTCCAACTTAAAAATATTTGTGTAACAATTATTTACGCGGTTGAATATACTCGAACATTGAACATATAATTGAACTATTATTGTCGCTTTCAAATTTTGAGGAGGCACAATGCAAACTAGCTTAGTTTTACTTCCTAGATACCATTAGCTACTAGATTTGGATACACATTCCACTACACTAAAATGCATGTTAATTTTAAGAGTTACAAATAATAACAATATAAATTTCTAGTTAATAGTTCAACATTTACTATGGCTCTCTTGTCCTCACCTCCAGAGTGGGTTACTCTCTACTCAAATGGCTCATTCCACCCTACTTCAAGTCAAGCAGCAAGTGGAGGTATGGTTCGAGATTATACATGATGTTGCCATGCAACATTCATTTTGAACCTTAGTAAAAGCTCCATTACTCGGGCATAGAGAGGTGTTGTAGAAGGGCTTCAGTTAGATTGAGATTTTGGATTCTGACATGTAAGAGTGGAGCTGGATTTCCTCTGTGAGGTTCAAATCTTACAGGGCGGTAGTGGGAAACACCACCAACGTACATCTAGCAATCATTGATTGATTTCACCATCTGCTACAACAGCATTGAGAAGTGACTATGTACCCTATCTATTGAGAGGATAATAAGTGCGTTGTCTATTTAGCGTTCTTTATTTGTCTTTAGATTTACATGGTATTTTGAGAATTGATCCTCAACTGTACCAGTTGCTTATGTACGATATTCAAGGGCTCTCCTAACCCCGATTGATTTCGGGATTTCATGCATCATTTCAAACCATAATTTGTAAACTTGTTCATCGAGCCAATTCTTGCATAAACACCTCTCTTCATATCAATGGAAACCAAAACAAGCAAGAATAGGATTTTACTATTTGAGTTTCTGATTGGGGGGTTTTGGAAGTCATTCATCCGAGTCGTGGTACGAGTTTAGAGTTTTAATGATCTTCATTCCCTAATTTCCCTTCCACCCATTACGTAGTTGGATTAGTTTCATGAACGTGGTTGAGAAATATAAATAGCTCGAAAATATTTACAAATATTTAAAATGGACTATGGGACGCAAGAATTTTCAAAGATAGATATCTGATAATAATCAACTGAAGCCAACAGTATTCAGTTATCAGTGACCCTCATCATATACCAGCAAAGGATGAAGCTAAGTTAGGGAAACGCTGTGTTGTGGTGTAACATGTGATCCAAAGCATCTAACTTGAACACTCTCCACGATAAAAGGGGGGAAAAATAGAGAAATGGTGCAAGTAAATCAAGTCACTCATGCTTCAACCATATCGTTTTCTTGCTTTGCCAGCAAATCTAGGAAGCCTTGAGGTCATCCATACCAACACTAGCCTGCACCAACAAATTGTTCAGTGAGCCGGATCACAAGGAGTTCGGAATATACTTGGTAAGTAAGTAACAAAGTAGAAGACATTAATCCATCTCAGTTCCTTGCATGCTTAAACTTTCGGGTTTCTTGATTCCTCTGGATGGGGTACATTCATTTTTCTCAAGTTGGGGGACACATAATTGACAGTTCGCTCACTTAGCTTGCTCTAAAAAGCTACCATATTCCGGTAAATCAGTGCATTGGTTATTACAAATTAATTACTATGACAGAAGGAACAAACAGTCACCAGGTTCTCCATTTATCATATATTCATATTCTATTTTTATTCTATCATTTACCTTTCCTGTTTGCAATAGTGAAACATGAAGTTCTAAATGGTTTCATAAAGTTCCAGGATTAAGGTATATGGAAAACAAGACACAGGCTGAGAAAAAAAAAACCATACCAGGAACTTGTGATTCTCTGCAAGGAATGGGGAAAAGGTTGAACAGAAGCTATCTATGTCAGCATTGATGTCACCCTTTCCAGATATCACATCCATGAACTTCTTCCTGTCAGGAGCAAGCTTCATTGCAACCTGCAACAAATATTCAACATCAACTCCTTGTCGAAGCCAAATTAGAACTATAGAAAGCTACATGCTCTATAGGTATATAAAAATATGAAGATGTAACGATGCAAAAGGATGGATGGAATCTTAATCATTCATTCTCTGCTTGACCAACTAAAAGGAAAGTAAGCCTAATTTAAACTCTTCCATCGACCAATCAAACCGTTCCGCAGGGGATATAGCACAAATGCACCTACAATAGCATTTTTTTAAAGAGCATATGATTCGAAATATAACTCAAGAGGGGTTAAGAACATTACGGAGAAACTCGAACTAGCAAGCCAGCCATGGAACTTTTTCAGAGTCTTGCTGTATGAATCTGTACAGGCTTGGCTCATTGTCCAATCTTGATGTGTAAGCAAATTGCGGAACAATTCCACCAGGAAATCCATAGCTCTGGTGGAGATCATAAAAGACAGTGAACCCTATGAACTTGGTGTCAATGTGAAAAGAAAAGAAAAGAATGGGATCCCATACCTGGTTAACCAAAGTAGACCATTAGTACAACTAGATGATCCTTTGGCTGTTTTGGCTTGAACCTCCTCTTGAACCATACTGTATAAGAGCTTGTATTTAGTTGGATCAGTTGAATACTTGGTTTCCAACCTCTACAATGAATAAACACACAACCATTCTGTTTCAGAACTCAGACTTCAAGATACAACCCAAAACGCTTGAGACTGGCAGCATACTAACAAGACATAACACGTAAATCAGAGTGAACATTACTCGAAAAGATCTCAGCTTTTCCCAAATTTGAAGAGAATATATAACAATAACAAACATTATTAACTAGTACAGAGATCTTACAGTGATATTGCCGCCAATATCAGATTTCACAATGGCCAAAGCAGCTCCAAACTTATCTGTCAAAATCATAACCACCAACATGAGCATCTAACAAGGCTATCCATCAACTACCGAACCCACGAAACCTTGGAATCTTCACCAATCCTATTTCATTGAGGAACTAACCGATCACGGGGAGGATCAATTTGCAGACATCCAGAAAAGGCTTGGTGAGCATTTCCCCTTGCTCCGACTTGACATGCTTCATCCCTTCCAGTGACGGAGCGAACACCGATCCTTCTCCGGCCATCTCACTATCTCTGCATTACCAATCAAAAGAAAAACCCACACAATCAGCCCAATTGCCGTCCGATTAGCGAGAGACATAGATAGACAGAGAGATCCGTACAGGAATTGGTATCAGAAGGCGATGAAGTTGCAGAAAAATGGAAATTTGGCAGCCGAGATTGACGGGGGAGGAGCAGATTGATTCGATTCGGGTGAGATAATGGAGTGATTCAGAAGTGGAGTTAAGTTAACAGAGGGGGGGGGGGAGAATCAGATTCGATTCGGTTGGCTGACGGTGCCGTTTCTCTATTTATGTTTCTTTTCTACGCCGTTTGTCGGTTACTCGGGTAGCTGAACTGGAGGGAGAAGACGGAGTTACGGTAGCGTGTAACGGCGGGGTGGGCTAGAAAGTACGGTCCAACTAAAGAGCCCAATTCGCAAAATTCCTACATAAGGCCTAAACATAAAAGGCCAAAACTCCGAGCCCAGATATACGACACTCGCCAGCATCTCCCAACCTAGGACCCTGTTGTTATAAGAACTCTCCCAATCCTGTAAAACCCTAATCTTCAACTCTGCTCTTCTGGTCTTCGACTGACGGCCGTCGTCTCTGTTTCTTCACAGTCACACCCCTCACCAGACCGCACAGATGGTACGCTTCTCTCCGGATTGGTTCATCTATTCCTCTGTACTCATTTCCGACTCTACTTAATGGGGATTTCTGCTGCAGGGATTCAAACGATATGTTGAGATCGGGCGGGTGGCTCTGATCAACTACGGGAAGGAATATGGAAAGCTCGTCGTCATCGTCGATGTCGTCGATCAGAACCGGGTGAGTTACCATTTTTAGTCTCCTGGCTTCTTCTGTAGATCAGTTTTTTTAGGTGCATAGTAGAAAATTGATTATCCCCAGTACGCAATTATTGTGGATGGTTAGTTTGATATATCGGCTTATAGATATTAGGTTACGGGTAGTAGTCGGTTTAGGCGAACTACTTGTTTCTGCACCCAGTGGCTGATCTTTCTTGGCTTGGTGTCTGTTCTGTTTTTAAGACCTAATCTTTACTTTTGGAATCCTCGGAAATTCGGATTTCAAGGTTTAGCCCTCCTTCCCATTGCTTCGTTTGTCATTTGATTGGCCTGGAACTGGGTTTCGTAGCGGTAGAGTCAATGCATTAGGCTCTGAGCTCTCTAATATGTTTTTCACTACAGGCACTAGTTGATTCCCCAGATATGGTTAGGAGCCAAATTAACTTCAAGAGGCTTACTCTCACCGATATCAAGATTGAGATTAACAGAGTTCCCAAGAAGAAGACGCTTATTGAAGCCATGGAGAAGGCTGGTAGGTTATCTTTTCTCTCATAAAACAGAAAGTTTGGAAGTGCTCTCATGTATTATGCTCGACTCCTGATGACTGTAAATCTTTGGCGTGGTAGATGTTAAGGGCAAGTGGGAGAACAGCTCATGGGGTCGCAAATTGATCGTTAAGGAGAGAAGGGCTGCCCTTACCGACTTTGATAGGTTCAAATTGATGTTGGCCAAGATCAAGGTTTGTGTTACAAAAACTCCTTCCCTGGGTCGATTAATTTGATTGTGTTTGATCCGATTGGAAGAATGCCTGCTTATCGGAATCTTCTACCATTGGTAATGTGCAGAGAGGAGGATTGGTCAGGCAAGAGCTCGCCAAGCTGAAGAAGGAGACCGCCGCTTAGGACCTCCCACAGTATTATTTTCTCTATTTTTGTTGGTAGTCTGCAAGGGTTGTGCCTCTGGGATGTTGTTTCGTTTTCTGTTTCAGATATACATTGATCAGCTGAAGGGATTTTCTTTTTGTGATATGAAACGAGAGACCCATTTTGTAGAAGCTAAGAGTGCAATGTTTTTGGCGTGTTTATTGCTATTCATATCGCCTTGCTGTTTCTCGTATTCATAAGTAGATCTGAAGGTTTCAATTTTGTCGGTGCAAAGTTTTGTTCTCTTAAGGCTTGTTTAGTTTCATTTCTGTTTTCTCAAACAAATGTTGAAAAAACAACATTTTGTCGTTTTTGAAACAGCAGGTAGCTGCCATTTTCTGTTTTCGGAGTTGGAATGAATAGGAAACAGGTTTTTTCATTTCGGTTGCCAAACTTATGACATGAAAATAGAAAACACTGGAAACGAAAATGGAAGTGAACAGGAACAGGACCTAGGTACTAATTAACACCCTAAGTTTTTTTAAAATTTGTCGCCCTAACTTGACAATTTGACTCTGCCCTCAAAATTCCAAATCCCTAAAAAAAATTCGCCTTAGGAATAACGCCATCGCAGCCTTTGTCCGTGGAAGTCTTCGCCGACTGGGAGTAGTCGCCGTCGCTCCAGTCTCCCCAAAATCTTCGCCTTATGATTAACATCGTCGCCGCCTTCGTCCGGGGAAGTCTTCGCCGGCTGGGAGTCTTCGCATCGCTCCAATCCCCCCCTAAATCGACATCAGTTCAGCGTAGCCGCCTTCATTCCTTTGCTTGTTTTCCTCTCTCCTTCCTCAACAACGACGGACGCCTCCATCCTCGATTCTCCCAACTTTTGTCGGCGATCGACGGGATTTACATATGAGTGCGGCGAGATTAGGTCGATGGATCGGCGGTGGCTTTTCGGATCTGTAGTAGTAGTAAGTAACAACATCAGTTGGGAGAATCGAGAGAGGGAAAGGAAGGGAGCAGTTTCCGTTTGGAACAACGACGATGGTGATAAGGATGATGATGACGACGACGGGTGAAAGAGCAGATAATATCCGCTCGCTCGCCATTGTTCAGAGACTTTTGATTTTAGCCGGTGACCGGCGGGGGAAATCATTGGCTACGCAGTCGTCCGAATTTTGGGAATTGGGGGATTTTGGGAATTGGGGAGGTTTAGGGATTGAGGGTAGATTTGTCAGTTTAGTTATTTAGGGCGTTAAATTTTAAAAAGTTAGGGCTTTGAATAGGAATCCAGTTGTTTAGTACTAACCAGAAGCCAGTGATTTTCCTTGGGTTAATACCTTATTTTGGCCCGAACTATGACCATATAATCAACTTTGGCCCGTGGTTTCAGAAATTAACATCCTGACCTCAACTATGCAGCATATAGACTCAATTGGCCCGACACATAGTTTGACCGTCAATTTGGACGGTCAACTCCATTGACCGTTAGTCAACACGCCATGTCATTGCCTAGTCAGCCTAAAAATCATTAAAAAAATGCATATTCAAATTATTTTTCTAATTTTTCTTATTTATTATCAAATTAACCAAAAATAAATTATAAAAACATAAAATAAATTTGATTTTTTATTTTTTGGATAATTTGAAAAATGATAAATTTTATAAATTAACCAAAAATTAACAAATTATTTTATATTTTTAAAGGTTCCCACAAAATATAATTTATATCATAATTTTTAAATTTACAAAATTTAATTTGATAATTTTTGGTTAATTTATAAAATTTATCATTTTCAAATATCCCAAAAAAATTATTTTATATTTTTATAATTTTATTTATTGGTTAATTGGAAAATAATAAATAATAAAATTAGGAATATAATTTGAATTTAAATTTTTTTAATGGTTTTTAGACTGACTAGGCAATGACATGACATGTTGACTAACGGTCAACGGAGTTGACCGTCCAAATTGACGGTCAAACTATGTGTCGGGCCAATTGAGTCTATATGCTGCATAGTTGAGGTCAGGATGTTAATTTCTAAAACCACGGGCCAAAGTTGATTATATGGTCATAGTTCGGGCCAAAATAAGGTATTAACCCATTTTCCTTCGGGGTAACAACTTCTGCTTCTAAACCAGAAATAAGTCATCTTTTGTTTTTAAGCTCTAAAATCAGAAAGTCTGAAACTTTTACTACTACCATAGCAGACGAAACAGGTTATTCGGGCTGCCTTGCATTAAAGAGTGAAGAGAATCAATAACCTGATCATACCTGCAGGCGAAATGGAATGGAGGAGAAGCAAAAGAAAGCATAGGGAGAGGGAAAAACTCCAAAAGAAATGAAAAATAGAAAAAAGTTTAAGTTTTTCTCTGATATTTGCTTGCACTTCAAGTACCCAAATAGAGGAGTAGGATTGCCATAAAATTCTTCCCGGAGGTCACTACATCCTACCACCCCAACAACAATGAACCAGCCATCAGCTTTAGGGTCACTTCCTGCTACAGATTAACGATGAAATGGTCGTTTAAGACAACCAACTCCCTAATATTCAACATAATGGAGCAGAAACCAATTCCCTGATGAACTAAAGGGTGAGGGAGGATCATATGCATCTCACTGCAAAATTGCAGGACTGTAAATACAAATACATGCTGCACGCTTCTACGCAGAAAAAGATGCCGATTTCAGTGGGCCTACAGAATCCCTGTTAACAATTCATTCACAATGTTTACTCCTCATGTCACCGGATAGACCAGCTGCAAAAGCAGAATGTTTCAGATTTCAAGGAACCATTGCACTGGCATCATCTTCCTCGCCTGCTACCGGGGCTTCACTGGACATGTACTCATTCTGATACTCCATCAAGTACTGTGCTGATCTCTTCACGTCCAGGAACAGATTGTAAACTCTGGTAATGTCTTCACTCTCCACAAGCCTTCCTTTCCGCTTCAGGCATGCTAATGCAGCTGCAGTAATGAGATGGATGGCATATCTTAATGATGTTTCTCCACCTATATGGGTGAGCAGTGCCTTTGCTTCCTCAGACATATCCACCTCTTCTTCTTGGCACCTAATATCCAATATCTTGCGGATTTCATCTTTCGAGTAAGGTTGGGTGGTGATAATAAGAAGGCGGTCGAGCAGGTCTATTGGAATTCCATGCGGAGATTTGTAATTTGTGCCTCTAATTGTGGTGATCCCTCTGTTGGTGGCCACAACTAGTATGGGAGACATCTCATTCTCGAGAGCACGGTTTAAGAAAGAGAAGCACTCGATATCGAGCATGTGGACTTCATCAATGAACAGGACACCGGGCACAATCTCTGCTTTCCCTTCTTCCCTCCATTCTGCTACCTTAGTGTCGATTTGCTCCCTGACCTCAGCACGAATTTCGCCAGTGTCACCGGTGAATAGAGCTAGAAATCCCTGTGTTCTGCAAGTGCAAAATGTACAACTTAAGAAAAGCATAACAAGGCTAGGTAGAAAACGTCTATGAACACAAAAAAGAACACACGAAGAATTAAATTTGCATGCCACAGAGCTCTTAGATATTCATAAACCATCAGATCTATGTAGACAAATCAAAAGCACCTCCATTAAAGCTGATGTGAATCCTCTTTGACTATGGAACACACGTCACACACAACTTTAGTTAACCATGATGAACTGTAAACAGCCATTTGAGGCTGAAATAAAGACAAAGGGTACATACTAAAACAGAAATCTGAGTCCTCTTTGATTATGAAGCAGTAGAACACAGACACCTAATAGATGGACTGCAGTAATCAGCAAACGCTATCCAAAGCTTCAGCCTTTATACAAGTCTTTTTGTGCAGAAATGTACCAGACATTAATAAATCACCCAAATTTTCTATCAAGGAAACCAGAGAAATGCAACGGCTGAACTCCCCCTTTTTGGGTACTAACAAGAAACACCCCTTAAGTTCTAACAGTAGCTCTAAATTCAGAAGCCCAATCCATAGTTTCTAGACATATAAATCTCTTCAGAGTATAGAATGTCGGGAGCTTTACCTGCTGTTGATGACATCAATCTCATGGAGGGTAACACAATGCACAACCTCCTTCCTCTTCTGAAGCTCACCATCGGGGCACTGAACAAACTTCACCTGCGGCCCCATAGCATCATAGTCTCTCGACCTCGCGAAGGATCTCCCAAGCTTGGTGATTTTCCCGGACGCTTTATCAATGGCGATAACATCTCCACTCTGCACTTTCTCCTTCCCTAGAGCCTCAATCATCTTGGCCCCCAGGTCATACACAGTCTCCATCTCCGTCGTCTTCAACGTCAACTTCCCAGTCTTGGACGCCGCACCGGCCACCGCAGGCCTATCAATTTGAACTTCAACCACTTCGCCCTCTATTATCTCCGTCTCCTCCTTGATTCTCACCCCAATCGCTTTCCGTAGGGCTTGCATCAGGGCCTCGGTCTTGGACATCTCGAGGGAGAAGATTTCGCTTCCGGAAATCATGGCGAATGGGGTCTCGAGACCTAGGGATTTCGCCATCCCCATTGCGATGGCTGTTTTCCCCGTGCCCGGTTGGCCGGCGATGAGGACTGCTCTTCCGGCGATTTTCCCATCCTTTATCATCTGAAGGATGACACCGGCGGCTTTGCGGGCGGAGGTTTGCCCCACCATGCCTTCGGAGACGGCACGGGGCTCGAGGGCGGAGTCGAGGCCGAGGCCCCGGATGTGGGAGTGAGCACCTATGCGCTCTACTCGGGTGAGGTCCCGGGTCTCGGAAGATAGCTTGAGCTCCGCCATCGACGGCGATGGACTGCCCGCCGGATGACTGATGAAGAAGAAAAGGAGGAGCACGAATGAGAGCAGGGGACTAGAGGAGGAAAGATTTGCGAGTTAGGGTTTAGGGTTTTAGACTTTTGTAACTTTGTTCTAATCAAGCCTCAGCTAGGGATGGCAATGGGCGGGCTGGGTCGGGTTTTGCCAAACCCAAACCCAAACCCATGGGTTTATCTTTGAAAAAAACTCGGGGTAAAACCCACTGGGTTTGAAAAACTCAAACCCAATCCAACCCGTTGGGTATCCGCGGGTTCATGGGTACCCACGGGTTTTGTCGTAAAAAATTTACAATTACAAGTTCTTATCAAAATTAAAGTCAAATATCAATCTCTCAATACAAATTATCCATATATAAAACACCATTCTAGAAAATTCAAGCAAATCACAAATTAACTATACAATTGTTCAACACCAATCTAGAAAACTCAAGAAAATTAAAGCAAATCACAAATTATCCATAAATAACATGTTTAATTGAAAGCTTCTTCCTTTCAATTAAGTTTCTTTACTCTCCACTCCATAACATCAACTTCATTCTACACAATTAAAAAGAAAAAATTAGACATGTCTCCAGAAACATAAATAAGATTAGTTGTTTAGAATATTAAATATATCAAAAAAATTAATTATATGGGTGGGCGGGTACCCACGGGCCGGGTTTACCTAAACCCAAACCCAACCCAACCCGGTGAATAGTGAACGGGTTTAAACCCAAACCCGGCCCAAAACCCGTCAACACGGATTTTACCCGCGTTGACCGGGTTGGATCGGGTGGGTACCCGTGGGTTCGGATTTTGTTGCCATCCCTAGCCTCAGCTGCCCAGCACTACCAATGTTCTAAATTACACTTTTAGTCACTAGATTTATTAGAATTTTTTCGTTTGACATTCAAAAAAAAATTCGTGCTTATCAATCATTCATTTTAAAGCTTGTTTTATCATCGGTCACTAGCCGTCCAGTTTCGTTAATTTTTCCTACATAATGGTCAATTATAATCGTTGATTGTTAAGTGAATGACACGACAATTAACAAAGTTCGAGAGAGTATTCGATATTTTTTATGTTTTTTTTTAAATAAGCTAAGTTAAGTTATTCAACTTCTATGGAAGTTCAATGAGAACTCGTAAATCGAAACTTAAAGCTGCAAATATGGATACATTGAAGAGAAAAAATAAAACTTGACATGTGTCAGAGTTGTGGTTTTACAAACTCTTGCTCCATCTCCATACCTCCTAACCAATCATGTGTAACCACATTTATAATCACTCTTCTTACTGCCTTGGTGTTTGATGTAGCTTGTTTGGCGTCTTAACCCTCTTGATTCCATGTTGACTCCTCAATACCTTAATGACTTGAAGAATTTAGCTGAGCTTGATGGTTAGTCTCTCTGCAATCGAACTGTCTTGGGAAAAAATCCAAAAGTACCACTGTTTAAAAAAAAATCCAAAAATACCACCCAACCCTAAAAAATTCCAAAAATACCACCCAACCCTAAAAAATTCCTAAAATACCACCCTTTTTCAAAAACCGCCACCCCACCCAGCGGTTTGGTCGAAAACCGCTTGTCGGGGGCGCGGTTTTGGACCAAACCGCGGGCCTAGGGGGCGGTTATAAAAAAAAAAAATTTGGACCAAACCGCTGGGTGGGGTGTCGGTTTGGCCCAAAACCGCCACCCCAACCAGCGGTTTGGTCCAAATTTTTTTTTCCTTTTCCGACCAACTCCCGACTTCGATCGAAACTTCAAACGAACGTAACTTTGCACTCGGGTATCCGATCATAGCGATTTTTTTTCATTTCGCATAACTTTTCAAGATCTACAACTTTTACTAGGATGAAGTTTTCAAAACAGGAACTATTTGTGGATATACGGGACCTTGAGAATAACTTTACCTTTACTTTTCAGAAATCCATGTACATTTTGAAATTATGATTATATTAAAAGTTGTAGATCTTGAAAAGTTAAGCGGAATCAAAAAAAGTTCATAACATTCGGAGTTTGGAGCACAAAGTTATGGCCGCCCAAAGTTTGACGAAAGGCGAGACCCGGCGGTTTGCGGCTTGCAAGATGTCAAAAAGTTTGCGGCCTCCATTTTTTGAATCCGAATAACTTTTTGAGATCTTGCAAGTCTAAAAAATTCGGGTTCCGTCTTCGTCTCGAAAAAACGTCATTTGCCACCCCGAACGACCTTTTTTTTTATTTCGTCAAACTTTGAGCGGCCATAACTTTGTGCTCCAAAATCCGAATGTCATGAATTTTTTTTTATTCCTCATAACTTTTCAAGATCTACAACTTTTAATATAATCATAATTTCAATATGTACATCGATTTCTGAAAAGTAAAGGTAAAGTTATTCTCAAGGTCCCGTATATCCACAAATAGTTCCTGTTTTAAAAATTTCATCCTAGTAAAAGTTGTAGATCTTGAAAAGTTATGCGAAATGAAAAAAAAATCGCTATGATCGGATACCCGAGTGCAAAGTTACGTTCGTTTGAAGTTTCGATCGAAGTTAGGAGTTGGTCGGGAAAAAAAAAATTTGGACCAAACCGCTGGTTGGGGTGGCGGTTTTGGGCCAAACCGCCACCCCACCCAGCGGTTTGGTCCAATTTTTTTTTTTATAACCGCCCCCTAGGCCCGCGGTTTGGTCCAAAACCGCGCCCCCGACAAGCGGTTTTCGACCAAACCGCTGGGTGGGGTGGCGGTTTTTGAAAAAGGGTGGTATTTTTGGAATTTTTTGGGGTTGGGTGGTATTTTTGGAATTTTTTTTTAAACAGTGGTACTTTTGGATTTTTTCCACTGTCTTGCTTGTCGACTTGCCTTGGTACCCTACTTTGCATGCTTGACTTGGGATTTTTCTGGTTTTATGGGATGTGACGACTTGGGGGACTAAGACATGGTTGATGTCATGCTTGACACCTAGGTGGTTGATGGGTCAGGATGGCAGGTGTTAATGCACGCGTCCCTACCTGTTAGAAACCGATTTATCCTGGGTTTCTATATTTATTATTATTATTATTATTATTATTATTATTATTATTAGGATAATTATTATTATGGTTAGTAGTCTTTTAATCATATTAGGTTTATTATTAGGGTTTTCTAGAATCTCCTATAAATATGTATTTGACCTATTCATTAGGTATCAATAAGAAGAATATTAAGAAAACTCCTAAACCCTAATCTCTCCCTACCAAGGTTGTCAAACCGGTTTATGCCAGTGTGCCGGTTTAGCAAGTGGAATGGTTCAACCGGTGGCACATACCGGTTTGTGCCGGTTCATGCCGGTCAATATTACAAATAAAATTATAAATACTCATATTTAAACATGACATTTAACGTCAATTCCTAAACATTTATACTTGAATCCAACAAATAACATCAATATTTAACTTTTATACTCATAAAATAAATAATTAAATAATTTTTATCAATTAAATTCTCTAAAATAAGGTCATTTTACTTAGAGATTCGTATATCGATCATGCCGGTCATACCAGTGGTGTCACACCGGTTTTATGACCTGTATCGGTTGAACCCGGTACAACCGGTGGCACGCCGGCCGGCGTGACAACCATGCTCCCTACCCTCTCAATTCTCGATCTCAATCCCTCTAAAGTCCTAGGTCGATTCTCTTCTGTTCTTCCCCAAATTCTTATCAAATCCCTGAATCCCCAATTTTGTCCTATAAACCCTAAATTCCCAATCTCTAGATCTTATCTAGAAATCCATTAGAAACTTTGTTTCTAACAATTGGTATCAGAGCCCGGTTCGAGAATTGAGTTCGTCACAACTCTCAACCGGGGACGAGTTCTATAACTGGTTCGAAGATGAGCTCGTCAAAGCTCTCGGACATGTCATGGGCAGTGATGCGGGAACATGCTCGACGTATCGGCGAGCGTTGGAGTTCCGAGGAGCTGTCGCCCATTCAAGAGGTGGCGGCGCCCGAGGCGACATGGTCACCAAAATTTTCAGAGCTGACTTGGGCACATATGCGAGCACAAGCTCGACGAATCATTAACCGATGGAGCTCCGAGGAGCTGCCGCACGAGCAGGAGCCTGCAGAGGTCGAGGAGGCTAACGCGACTCAATCACCACCAACACCAGCAGCTGAAATTACCACGGTACCTATTCCAGCTGTTGTTGAAGATGGCAATCCGGATGTCAAGACTCAACACGAGTAGCAGCCTCTGACAGCATCAGTTACCACGACTGTGGCTTCACCACCCACACTATTTTCAGTGATTGAACAATCGTCCAAGGCGCCCGATGGTACTTTTCGCGGTCGTGAGTGAAGAACAAGGTGCTCTTGCTTCTTCCGTCCTTATTCCCGACAGTAAGAAGACCAACGTCTCTGAAGAAGAAACCCAAACCAAGGGTTTAGAGAGGAGACCAACGCCGGGTCAAGTAGCGAGCTGGCGGTTTCAGAGGAAGCCGAGGACGGACGAGAAGAGTCCTAGGCTACCGCTTCGGCCATCCCTACCGCACCAAACGACATTGGGGGCTCACCCATGTCACTGCCAGCCGCAATCCAGGAGATTCATTCGTCACCGGAAGCTGGGATGGAGACGAAAACGAAAGACCACGAGGAGGACTCGTCGGCACCGCTGGTCGCGCAAGGAGCACATAGAGTGGTCGTAACATGGGGATTGGAGGAGACCGGAGCCGGAATCGACAGTGTACGTGATGCAGAGGTGCCGGAGCTTCGAATCGCGCACGAAACGCTGCGATTGGCGGTGGGTTCCGTTGCGCCTCCGAGTGGAGGTAAGGTAAGGTTGGCGGCAAGCTTCTCTCCTTGCCGTGGAATGGATCTCTCGCCGGCGAACGAGTTGAAGAGGAGGCCGCCGGAGATGGAATCAGAAAAGGGTACGATGGAAGCGATTATGAATCTTCTGGCGCCGTGTCTTGAGCGGCAAGAGCAGTCCGTGGCTTCAAGGATCCGTAGCGGAACAAAGGAAGAGATGTAGGCACTGTCGGAGGAGGAAGCAGCACGGGTCGCCCTGACACCGCGGACTTCTGTCGAGGCCACGACGAAGGTGAAGACGAGGGACAAAGCCGGAC